TTTTAAATCAGTTCATTAATCAAATGCAGCTTTTACGCTTTCTGTCGTTATGAGCATCAACGCTAGTTAGTTGTTAAGCAACTAGAAACACTAATTATATATGTATATATACGAGCACACATACACAGTTGCCTACATATGTATACACACATATATCGTATATGCATTAGTCATAGATGCTCTGGGGTCTATTGTCGTTTGACATTTTGACTATGGCCGCTAAAGTTCGATCGATTAAACCGGAAAGAAAGCCGCGCTCACATATGTGTGCACATCTCTATATCTGTGTGTGTGTGTTTGAGTGTGTGGCCAGTTTTTTTTTTTTTTCTTTTTTTCTTTTTCTGTCTTATTATTATTTTTATTGCAATTCGCTGCTGTTGTTGCTGTTGTTGTTGTCGTTGTCGTTGGCTGCTGCTCTTTTCTTTCAGTTTTGTGAAAGGATGTTTCTAGCAATTGTAGGTTCTCGCCAATTGCTTTCCCTTTGGCCGCCGGCAGCAGCGATCGCTGCTGGATCTGTCCGGCTGTCGAGCGCGCTTAATTGGTTTTTGGTTAAGAGTCGCAGCAGCAGCAGCAGCAGCAGCAACAACAACAGCAACAACAACAACAGCAGCAACTCGTATCGCTTATGTATAACAGTTCTCAGCAGCAACAAGAGTTTTTTTTTTTGTTTTTTTTTTTTTTATTATTATTTTTTTAGTCTGTTTCTAAACCGGTTAACAGATTTTTAGTCGCTTGCGCCGCGCATGTGGGCAGTGGCAGGGGCCGAGCGGGAGGAGGGGCCGTCGAGCACAGCTGGAACTGGTTTACGTTTAATGGGCAGCTGGTGATACATCAGCAACAGCAACAGCAGCAGCAGCAACAGTTGCTCGTTTGTTTGCCAACTTAATTTTATTTCATTTCAATTCAATTCATACGATTTGATTTCTTGTCACACACACACACACACACAGACAGTTAGTATTCCATATGTTGGCCTTTTTGCTTCTGATTCTGATTTTGTTCCTGCTTATGCTTGCCCAGCCGCTTGGCCAGTGCATTCATATGCACGCTGGTGCCGCTCAAGGATGTGATCGACGAGCCCGAGCTGATGCCACTGTGCGACGCTTCAATGATCGATGATAGGCGCTGCACGCTGCTGCCCTCCCGCTTCCACTCGCGCTCCCGTTCCCGCCTATGCTCTCGCTTATGATCGCGGCGATGATGTTGGTGATGCAGCGCCTTCTGCTGCTCCTGCTCGTTGCTCAGCTTCTCCTTTTCGCGCAAATATCGCTGCCGGGCCAGCGACAGATGCCCCAGCTCGGCACGCATCAGCTGGCTGGCCGGCGGCACCGGAACGAAGGCCATCAGCTTGCCAAAGCACAGCTCGCGCAGCAAATGGAACTGACAGATGACCTCCTTCAGGTACATATTTTGCAGCCCAGTATAGATTTGCGTCCAGGACGAGAGCGAGGCAACGCTCCACAGCAGGTTCGAGTGCATGGCAAAGGTGCCCGTCTTGGTGCTGGCCAGGAAGGCCACACAGCCAACGATTAGGTATTGATTGCGCCACTCGCGTATCGTCGCCTCATCGAGCAGCTCCCTGGGGCTGAACGGGGGCTCATAGCACAGCTGCGCTACGCCCCACATATAGGCCACAAATTGAAAATCGTCCAGCGAGTAGGCGCCCTGATGGGCCGACGGCTTCAGATCGAACAGACTCTGCAGGCGCCGCACACACTTCAGATACCGACTGAAGAGCATCAGGGCAGCGGCCGGCTCATCCTCGGCGCCCAGTATGCCGGCCTGGAAGAGGCTGCACAGGAAGAAGATGAAGCTCAGCTCGTTACCAGTGCCGTAGTCGGCGCGCGTGAAATTGCCAAACGAACTGCCCAAATACTGACCCAGCTCGCCCACATACTCGCACTTGGTGGCCGGCAGCGCCGTCTCCAGCATATTGAAGACCTTGTGGAGCATCTGGTGCGACCAGGTGCGATACGAATTCATAGCATGCGGCTTAACCGAACTGAGCTGCATGATCAGGCTATCGATCAGATGGCACAGCTTGCGCATTGTCAAGCTCACCGGATAGCCGTGCGGCTCCAGCTGTTGCACGCCCTGAATAGCCGTACTCGTCCGATTTATATAGGCGATCACATCGTGGTAGGCCATCGAATTATACCACAACGGCATGTCGCACTCCTTGCGCACACGCATCACGGCCCCATGGCTGATTTTCTCGAAATACCTGGATACATCCTCATCCATTTGGGAAGCTACACTCTCTTTATTTCCGCTATACACTGCGTGTGTTGGCCAACAACAAAATTGAACTTAGCTGAATTTAATTTGTAATCTACATAGAATTTTGTGAACGAACTGCTTTGTTACATTTCATAAAAAAATAAGATAAAGTATAAATCAAAAAGTTTTATGATGAAATTACAAAAAAAAAAAAAATAAATAAAAA